TGGCTTGGATTCTTTGTCTTTTGCAACTAACCGTAAGGACTTTTAAGTTTACATTCTCCTTTCTCCTTATGTTCTGCTACTTCATTTATTTTTTTTCTGTGGTGAGGGCTAGCAATTTACCTATCTTGCTTTTGTGTACTTTCGTTTTTCTCCCTCATTTAGGTCATTTTCATGCAGACCATTTGCCGCACTTCACAGTATTGTTCAGACATACCGAGCCTTTAACAAGGAGACTACAGAGCCAATAGTTCCAGCAGAGCATAACATAACTGAAGGAAAGAGCCTTTAGAGTCATGAGGAGGCTTTGTCACCAGTTCTTAGCAATGACTAAAGGAAAACAAAGCAACCCCTCCTTACACACGGCTACATTTCATTACATTTCCTGCTCAGCTCTTGATTGTCGTAGCCACCTATGGGTCAGAAATGAGGAACAGTTGGAGGATAGCATGAAGCAGTGTGCAAAGAGCTCTGTGCTCATTTTGTCTTAAATGTAGCCAAAAGGGAATATTTTAAAACCTCTGTAAATTTCTTCAACTTTCCTTCTCGATGACAGAAAAAAATACTTTGACACTATTGTGCGTCTTATGAAGAAAAAAGTAAACTTCAGGTCTCTAGCAAAGCCTAAATATTTTCAGGTGCTGGTTCTTTTTCTACATATTGAGATTACATGCATGATTAACAACTGATAAGTGATTAAATTGATTAATGACTGAAATTAATAGTCTAGGTGGTAAGAGGGAGATGATACATTAGGGCTATATACTCTAGGAATGAGCAAACACCTACGGACAACAGCAAAACCAAAACTAAACAGCTGTTTTGTATAACCCTCTTGAATTTCAATCAAATTTTATGAAATTGTTTGCTCTGGAACGACAGCTTGGTTATCTACAAGACCCAATATATTCTGCTCACGAGAGAATGAATGAATTTTCAAGGGATGCTGATTACAATTTGGTGAGAAGTTTTCCCTTCTAGTCCCTCCTTAATCTCAGTCCTGACAGCAGATTATTAAATTATATTTCCATGATGACATGTGGAGATACTGATTATTTTGCTCGAAGACCACACTCAAAATTGCACTGAAATTGGATGCTGTATGGGAACCATCATAATCAAGATTTCACCACTGAAGTCTAGTAACAATTTTGCAGAAGGTCATGTTGCATCTTGTCTAGGGCTTTCAAAATTAAAAATCTATTTATATATGAATTTTAAATCAAAGCACAAACATTCTGCTCTTTGATTTAAAGCACTTACGTTTTTCTCTTCACCTCAAACATGGACTGTGTTCAGTGTTCTCATTTAAATGTACACCAGCATAAGTCTTGGGAAAGATGCTTTCTTCAGCAACCAAATAGGCACTCTGTTCGTGCTGCTCAATATGTGACATAAGAGACCAGATGAGACATGAGAATTGCAGACTGCTGAATTGTTGGCACTGTAATCCCTCCCTAGAGAGAAGCCAAGGCAAGATGTGAGTCCTGAGCTTTTCCAGTGGTATGTGTTGCTGTAGACAGTCTTTTCATCTGAGTTCCCTCTCTTCTTTGCCTCAGGAGTTTTCCAGTTGGGTTAGGCAGTACCATGTATTTCTGCATGTATGGGGTTTCTCTCTGCAGATTTTTGCCTATTCAGGCTGCAGTGCTCATGTAAAATTTTTACAAAGAATAACGTCTGCTGTTAAATATCACAGGGCAAAAATCTAGGGAAAAAAGAGAGGAAATTCAGAATTTTTCCAGTGGATTTGTATCTAAGGAGCACTGACATCACTTACTAATTTTGCTTTTCAGATAAATATCATTCCAACTCCAGATGCAAGCCAGTTTGCAAGCAAGTTTGATGCTAAATGGGATTTTCTTGTGCATTGCAAAAAAGCCTGTGAAATGTCTGTGGTTATAAAACCAAGGTGCTTCATTTCATTTGGAAATTCTAAAGAGTGGCGTTCTGAATGTTCTCCAGGTGTTGCAGTCTTGAGTAACAATTCCACTAACTGTTAATTTATAGCACTCATTAGCCTGGAGGTAGCAGGGGAAAGGGCGGAGTCTGTCACCCTTCCTGTAGCTCAGTAGCATTTTTTGGCATGTAAGGATGCATCAGCAATGGCTTGAGTCCTACTCCGTCCTTGTAACATTGCAGGCTCTGGGTTGTTAGTTTTTCCAGTACAAATAATAGATGTAATCATGATGCTTGGATCTTTTCTGGGGAATTTTAGAAGCTTCGATCAAAATTTGCAGATATGAGCACCTTCAGCACTGCTTCACTCACTGCAGCAGAGAGTGAATCATTATCCTGGAATCTTCAGAAACTGGGTCTTCTGTCTTGATTACTTCCTCCATTCAAATACTCACACTTTACATTCTTTGGTGATAAATTTTCTTCTCATGCTTATAGTTTAGAAACCTGTAATAAAGTGATCTTGTCTGTAGTCCAGAGACATCCCTATTCCATGGAAACATTATGAAGAGCTCTTGTACTTAGGATTCATCTACTAATCATCTACTAATCATCTAGTTCATCTACTAATGTTGCTTTCTTCTCTATCAAGCTCATAGAATTTAGTATCTTCACAGCATACTGGATGGCAGATAGAAAATACCAAGGTACTTTTCTGATTCAGTGGATGTTCAGTTACTTAAATCCAATGATATGTTACATTAGCAGAAATATATACTTATATTTGTATGTGAATGTGTAGACATTGTGTTCAACAGAGGGGCTCTTTGGGTCAGTGGAGAGGAAAGCCTACTCTTTATACGTCTGGCAAACTTCCATGAGTGGCTCACCCTGACTGGATAAGATTTGTTATTTGTAGAGTGGTGGCTGCCTGGAGAAATGCTGTAGCAGCAAGCTTCGCCTGTGTGTCTAGCAGCAGCCTTTATTAATTGCAGCAGTGGGTGGAAAATGCATTAGCCTCATATATTACTACAGGGGGGTTGACAGCATCCATTCTCACAGGATTTCTATATGCTCCGTATTTCTACATGGAATAATCTTCAAACTCGTCTTTTTCCATTTTTTTTTTTCCTCTTGAGACATGGCCTGCAGCACCCTTATTTCCTGCATCTTTTGCCAGTGCAGGTAGGGGTTGGGAGAACTCTGCTACCTGCCCAAGGTTTTTCATGATGCCACAAGCTGGGGTGCCGGTTGCTTTTCAGCAGTCATTTAGCAGCTGCCCTTTTGGCTGGTTTCAGGAAAAAAGAAGGAAAGAGGAGAAAACGAGAATTACCAGGAAATTAAAAGGAAAATAACATTATTCTCCCTCGAATATTTGTGGTCGTTCCTATCCATTCTCTGTCTTACCTTCCATTGAGATATCTGGAAAAATCCCTCTGTTTTAGTGCTGCCTGAACAATTCTAGAAGTGACTTCTCACTGAAGACACAGGTAACAGCATAACCTGCCAGTGCCTTTCTTAAATAGCTGCCTATGTATGTCCTCAGCAGAAACGTTGGCAGCCAACATGTGCTAACATTTTCCTGGGTGCTGCCAATGTGAGTATGCAGGTGATACTTCAGTGGGTAGGGAGAGGTGGCGGAAGGAATAATGTAAAGAAATAATTCTGGCAGCCCTGGCTGACTGTGTCATGAAGTAAGTCTGCTGCTCCAGCACAGCTCATCTGGATGGATGGGAACCATCCTCAGAATAGCAAAGCTCAGCACTAACTTCCTCAGGAAAAAGTTGTTCATGCTGTGTACCTGTGAGGCATTTATATAGCATTACTCTGTGTAGTGCATCCTGCTGTCTGGCACTACTAGTAACAAGGAAATACTGACTTAGAAATGATCACGCCCTGCTGGTTTTGAAGGCAAAAATGTCCTCTGCCCTGTGCAAGCCTACAAATAGGGTGTTTTGATAAGTATAGCTGAGCCTCTATTGCCTTTGAAGACAAGGATCTGCATTTTTCATCATTATTTCTGAAAGCACCCTACAGGGAAACCACCAGAAGTCACAAAACATGCAAATCCAAAGAAACTTTGCCTCTGTTTTTGGCATCTCGTAAGTCTGTCACAAGCTGGTGACAACCAGCATTCTTCTGCAGGTATAGATGGAAACTTCTGTCTACCCACAACCTAAAAGGCTTCTAGATTTTCTTATTTGAGGGGGAAAATATGGAAGCTCCTAAGTCTTGGGAGAGAGCTTCAAAATAAATGTTTGAATCTTATCACTTCCTAAATTCCGGATGTGTCCTGTGAGGGCTCCTGTACATGGGGTGGTGAGTGACAGTAATAAGTCAGAGTAAATACATGCAAAATATGCTTAACTTGAAAACAAATCCTTGCACTACAGACGTTGGACTGTGATAAGAACAAATTTGGGAACACTGGTAAAGAAACCCCATGTTCATTTCAGCAAGCATTTGGGATGGCTTTCAAAACATTAGTTTGTAACTTGACCCTCCAAAGTAATATTTAACATTTCTACTTCCCGTGGTGCCATGTGCCATTTCTTAGCATAGGAAATTTGACTCTTATCTTCAGAGGCTTAATCAGGAATTTGGTTTAAGAGAAGCCTGTGCAGGTTCTCCTGCCAGCATTACTCTTTGTTTTACGAGTGCATGAGACGACCTATATGTCTTCATATGGGCTGTTTACAGCATGACTACAAAGATAAGTGGAACATGGTTAAAGCTGCTAAATTCCAGTATTCCCTCATTGCACAGGAAGTCATGAACTCTACTGAAGAAAATAAATTGGAAAGAAATGTGATATGTAGTACATCACCTCTCATAAGGGCATATGATAATTTCAAGAAATATTGTCCATTATGAGTTCCTACGGAACTGCCTCTGTTCATGAAAACTGAACTGAAATTTTGAGTCATTCTATAAATGCTACCTGAAACAAAATGTCTCCCTTTTAAATATTTATGTTTTGTCTCTTTTGGTTTCAGAGAAGTAAAAATTTTATTTCATGAAATTCAGACTTAATGCATGTTAAAAAAAAGGCTAACAAAAAGAAACACTCCTCTGAACTGACTTTTTTTTTTTTTTTTTTTTTTTAGCATTTCTCTCCTCCGGTTCTGGGAGAGGAAATTCTGCAAACCAAATGTGAACTCAGGAAAGGGAGGTACTAGCAAACTTGCTGTGCCAAAGGCAAACACAAAAGGTAAAATATAGCATCATCCAGAAGACTCCCCTTGGTCACACGTCTTCACTGAAAGCCAAAGCTCTCATCTAGATCATGGGTGTTTAATGTAGTGCAGAACTCTGTTACCAAAGAACAAAAATTACTGAGAGTTTTTACAGATGAGCCTTTTAAAAAGCAGCTAATATGAAATGTTCTTTTTGTATCAAAGCATCAATGGGTGGGGTGCTTCCTTTGCGTTTTCACAGATAAAGTATTTGTTTCTTACAGTGACTCACTCAGAGATTAGCATTTAAAGAACTGAGCCAAGGTGGAAGATTTTTTCCTGCCTTCTCTAATTCGTCTGCTAAACATGTTTACTTCTGGACAGCTTACATATTGAGTAGCAGTTATTGTACATTATTACTATATTTTGCCTTTTCTTTTCCTTTTTCTTTTTTTTTTTTTTTCTTTTTTGATGTTGTTTTGTGAGATTATTTTGCAGCTCAGCCTCTGGAAAGTGATTAAAAGACTGAAGTGACACCTAGTGCCCTGTTAAGTTGCTAAATCCTGCAATAGCATCTGGAAATGATATCTTCTTTTTAGGTGGATTCTTGGAAGAGAATTTAACTGTGATTCCCCCATTAACTTCCTTTCCAGTCTTATCTTCCCTTCTTCAAGAGCTGACAGGGAAAAATAAAGATGGGGTATGGGACAATTGATATGAAGCCTGTGTACGTGTAAATCTAAGTTACTGCATAGAAAAGCAAGAAAAACAAAGTTGGAACAGCACTGGGATTTATGTGATAGGAAACTTGGAAGGTTTTTGTTCCACCCCACACTTGAAGCACATAACGAGAAAATTGCAGTTGGTGAGAATCTTGATATGGGCAATGAAAAGCGGTGAGGTACAGCTCAGTTCTAGGGGTGAGGATTGAAAAGGTAGGGAATAATTTTGCTGCTTTGAAAGGCCTTAATTTAACTCATTAACAACCTACAAACAACAGCTACAGCATGGTCAACTTAGAGACAAAAGGCTTCAAAAGGAGTTAATTTTATACAAAATATGACAAAATAACACTTGCATGTTTATACTTAAGAGTTAGTAGTTAAATTTTGCCAGCACGTTTTATGTGGATTAGGATAATGATTTCTGCAAGACTGTTACAATCTAGCTGGGAAAAACAGTGCTTCTCACGTGAGAAGGTTTATGCAATTGAAAATGCCTGGAAAAATTGTTGGTTGTAGATAAAGTTATTTGGTTATTTGGGCTAGTTAAGAAAAGGCTTAATAAATCACATTCTCTTTGCAAAATCTTGTTTGCTGTACACTGAACCCACACAAAAGGTAGAACAGCTGATGTGGCTGGAAGCCATTTGGATCCCACCTCTGAAACTGTGTTAAGGATTGATATCTGAAACAGAAAACATATGGCTTTGTATCAGGATGTAGGGCAGCAGCTTTCTGATCACAATGGAGGAAGTTGGGGTGTAACAGTGTTTGAGTATCTTCTCATGGTATTGCAGGGAACAGTGCCAGCTTGTTTTAACTTCTCACTTGATCTAAACGGTTCTTCAGCCTTATGACTTCATTGTCTTACTACAGGGACAGTAAAATCCCAAACATGCAGATCCCAGTATTAGCACAGCCAAACTCCATGTAAAAAAAAAACTCAGTAAATCAGCCTCACTGCAGCCAAACCACATGTAAAAGCAAGCTGTGAAACAGACTCAACACTGCCAAACCACATGTAAAAGCATGCTGAAAACCACCCTCCGCATAACCAAATGATGTATAAATTGGTGACAAACAACAGTCAAGGAGGGCTGCATGTTTATTGGAACAACTCAAGGCTGTGGAGAATGCCTCACACCACTCACCTTATCTCCTACCTTATGCCCAAGCAACTCCATCTTACAATGCACTCTCAAGGCTGGAGTTACCAGGTAGGAGAAATGGCTCCAGCAGGAATGAATACAGCACAGTGGATTGGAGAACAATCTGCTACATATTTTAAAGGAGTGAGCAAATAATCAAGCCCAGAAAGAGCAGAGGGATAATTGGTTTTGTCTAATTCAGACAGAACTGATATTGTTGAGTTATTGCCTCTCTTACACTGTTATCCTTCCTGACTACAGAATCAGTCAGTCAAGAGACTGAACGAAGCATCTGGCTTTTGTGTTTCATCTTTCCAGCTAGAAGTGATTGAGATACAATTAAAATCCCTTTTTCAATTTTAATATGCCATCTTAGAAATTTTTATTAGAAGAGAGGGAGAATTGTATGAGTTGGGCTACCAATTTACTGGTGCTTCACAACCTGAAACATGGAGGGCTCTAAAGGGCTTTGTGACACATTTTTTGTATTATTATTGCAGTTTGTTTCTTTTTTTTTTTTTTTTTTTGTGAAAAAGCATTTTGGGGTTTTACAGCCTTTTTCTCACAATTGGTCCCAAAGCACCTCACAAGGGAGCTCAGTATCATTGCCTCCATTGTACAGCCATAAAAGCTGTAACAGGAAGACATGCAGTGACTTGCTCCACATTGTGTGGGAGGTCAGTGGCAGACCTTGGTGTAGAACCACATCTTCTGAGCCCACGTTTCTACCTGTTCAGTATTTCTCTTAGTTATCCAGAGCAGACTTGTGTCAGAAAAGGTTGTTAACAGAAGCTGGTAGAAATGCATTTAAGGGTGTGCTCAACCGGCAGGAGTTAGTTTTGCTTTCGTCTCGCACTGTTTTGTTTCAACATGTTGTTGTTTAATATGCCATTAGGGAGTTTGGGAACTGACTTCTGCGGGATAATCCAGGATTCCCGGCCTTTGACACACAGTGTGCCTGTTGAAATCAGGGTCACAGCTTCTCCAGGTGTAAAGCAGAAGACATTTCAGAGTATACGTAGTGAGAATTTAGCAAGGGGACCAAACTCGCATTCAAAATAAGGGCGGGCATTAATCTTTTAAAATCCTACTTACTTTTAAAATTCAAATTATTTAATTAATTTGTTTTTCTTTATCCGTTTCCAGCTGAGCAGCCTGCCAAGATGTCAATACACATTTTACTGAGTTCTCTAAATGCAATATCAGACAACTTGTTTTTCTCTTATTCATTCCAGGCTCACCTCTGCAGCTGTACCCGACTGAACAATGCCAGCTAATAGAGGAGCACGGTGCCAGCCTCATACAGAGTGGTACGGGGTCAAGGCAAGGTGTGTGGCTTCTCGCCCACTGCATGGCTGATATTTGCCCCGCTCTAGTCACAAATGGTAGCTGTTACCAGGTGAAAAGAGGGATCAAGAGCAAGGCTTTAAGCGTGTTTTACTATGGAAAAAGGCCACAGGTTCAGGCCTGTGAACAGCTGACAGGATAACTCTGCCCTTAGGTTCCCAGCTTATGCTACTCAGCTCATTAGGTCCCTCTTTCACTCCCTAGTGCCCCGACCAAAATAGCAGCAACCACATCATCAGCCAGTGTTACCTGGGTGTCTTCCCCGGGGCAACATCAGCCCACGTGGAAAGGAGGATGTGAGCATGATGGGGTCAGCTCTCCACACTGCATCTGTCCTCATGGGAGGAACTGAGCATCTCATTGTCATTGGAAGGAACTGGCATTTCAAAGCAAAGCAGGAACTCCCTGAAATATGGTAAAATGCTTTGGATTGTCTCTAAGAAGTAGCAGCTAGTGTATTTAAGATTAACATGACAAACTCGACTCACAGTTTTCTCAGGGTTACATTGATGATAGCAAAAATGCTCAAAGCAATATATAGAGTAAAATAGCCCCACATCTCAGAAGCGATCTTGTAAAACCCAGTGACATTACAATCACAGCATAGCAATGTGTCTGACTAAAAGAGAAGAAATAGAATGGGGCAACAAGTGAGGGAGGGGAATCACTGCTGTACACCATGGAGATCCAGGGTAAAATCCTGAATGTCAATTTTGCTACTGACTTGAATTGTTAAAAAAATTTCAAAGAGCAAAAGTAAATGAATGAATGAAAATATGTAAATGAAAGATTTTTTTTTTTTAATCAGTGATTAGGCATTTGTATTCCGTTCATTGCTTTTTTTCTATTTTGCTGCTCTTTCTTATGTCTGTCTTTATGTTTTTGCATCTCATTATTTGATGTACTTTAACAAAATACGTGAACTTAGGAATAAAAAGCCAAACAAAGCCCACGTTTGCTCATGCCAAATCTTATCTTTATAAGATAGAAGGTTAATAATGTACGCAGCCACAGTGCGGTTAAAAATAATCCTTCAGTCTGTGAAAATTATACTTTATAATCGGCTTTTAACTAGCTCCACCACCACCAAATCCACTTGTAGATGTATATTCTACTTTAAAAAGCTAGAGACTCTGCAGATCATGAGGCAGATTCATATCTCCCAGAATGCTTGTTGCTTCAATACTCAATCAAACCTCTGTGGATAGAATTTGTTTTACCCACTTGAAATGCAGTGGGAAAATCTTTCCTGGATTTCAGCAAACGCCCCAAGCCAGGGACTGATTTGGCAAGGTCAGATTGAAAACATCTCTCCACACTTACTTAGGGCAAGGCACAGCTCAAACCCTGCTTTGTCCAGCTGTCAGAAGCGTGAAGTGGGAAGTTAGTTCAGCCTCAAAGACATAGAGATTGATCAACTTGAAATATACCCATCAGAGCTTGGAAGCTGAGGTGTCTCGGGATCCTTCTCTCTAGGCTTTTCAGCAACCATCCCTGCCAGAAATACAACAAGCACCCATTCTTTTCTTAGCCCCTTTGGTATCTAGGAAGACTTGGTTTGACAGCTCTGGCTTCTGGATTCTTGTTACAGCGTCCCACTTCTGCTTGTATGCTCTTGAGATAGGAGTCAGTGGGGGCAGGATCTGTCAAATGCACAGACACTGGTAGAAGTGGGTTCATAAATGCTTCAGCGGGAGCTGGGAATGAATATTTAATTGAACTGCTCTACCCCCTTAGGAGTCCAGGAGACAAAACACATGAGGATTACTTAGGACTTCAGAGCCAGATAACTTAGGATTTCAGAGCCACAGTGTCTGTAAAAGAGACTTTTGTCATGCCCTGCTTGCCTTGAATAGACTCTGGAATCAAATCTGTGACTGTCTTCAGATCCTCCATGGTGGGAAGGAAATCTAAAACAGAAGTAGCACAGCCTGAGCTTCTCTTCTTGGGCAAGAGTCAGTCTCCTGATGTGTGAGTTGAAAAGATGAGCTGAGAACAAAATAAAGAGAAAAATCCATAGAAACCTGTTTGCAGACAATTTTCTGACTAGCTACAGGTGGCTAACAAAATGAGACAAAATACCCTTTTCCATTTAGCCCCTTTGAAAGCCTGCAAGTACCAGCAGGGTTTAGCCCGCTATTTAAATGGGAGGAGAGGGTCACTGAATTTGTTCCTCTACAATCAGGCAGAAGAACAGAGAAAGTACCAAAAAAAAAGCTGGTTACGAGTTTCCTTCCCAGTTTAAAATAATCCTAACCTCATCAGTGACCTTGATACAGAGAATTTCTTTCACTTTAAGCCCTTCAATTTCTCAGCCAGTCATTAATCCTTAGGATATGCCCTTTGCCTTCATCCTTATTGGACAATCCAACCTATTTCTGGGCTGCCTTTGGGGCAGAAAACCTCAAAATATTAGCTGTCAGGAAAAGTGGATGAATTTGTTTCCAGAAGGGAAGATACTGAAGTTAAAAAGCAGTGCTTATGTAAAACACTGACTCTAATTATTCTTGCTTCTGTTTTAATCTTTCATATTGTTTCATACAGAATTATCACATTTCCAGAAATATTTAATGACTCCATTCTTATTCTTGAACGACTTAATATCTAAGTCTCCAACTTTATTCTGGGTGCTCCTGAAAACAATTGAACCCCATACTATGAATTCCTTGGAGATTGCTTTATTTTGTGTGACTTACCAACACGTGTTCTGGAAAGATCATCTCTGGACCCATGAGAGATAGGAGAAGGCTTGAAAGTGGCACTTTATTCTGATATTTTATAGTATTCCCCAGTGGTATGTTTGCTGCAGTTGGAGAAAAAAAAAAAAAAAAGAGAGAAAAAGAAGAAGAAGTAGTGAAGAAATATACATAAATCAAAGCAGCTAATCAGAACAAAATGCTGATTTCTGTCTCCTGATCTGTTTCTTTTTGGATTGAGTATAGTTGCTGATATGTATGCTGGTCTTCTAATCCTTTAATGGGGGCACAGGCTTTTGAAGACTCCCTCTCAGAGGTGTTATTACCAAATATATGCTTCTAATTTAACTTCTCATGCCATATTACAGTAGCCTGAAGCAATTGTAGGTGTTGGGTTTGTGAGAAAAGCCCAATGTTGATGTTTATCAGATGACCTTTTAAAGGGTAATGTGGAGGTTATCCATTGGCATAATTAAAACCATGTGTAGATCACTTTTCCCAGGCCTTTCTTACTAGTTTTCAAAATCCCATCTATTTTTACCCAAATTCAGTCAGGTACCTTTCATCTCTGCTTTGTTTATGGGCATTACAGAATGAGACTGAAAGTGTTTGTTCTTTTGGAGTAATTTCTATTTGAAACATCAAAAAAGCTTGAATGCATAAATAAATCATCAGCACATTGCTATTGCAGTACCAACACACTTTCCTCTGTTTTTGAACATTTCAGATGTATGTAGCTGTTTATTCTTCTCCTCTCGGTCGTCCCTCCTTACAAGCTTTTCTTGAAACCCTACAGAGAGAAATGGACTTCCTTCTATGAAGTTCAGCTCTTAGTGCTGAACATAGGCACCAAAAGCCAAGGTGGTTCAGACAAGCAGACCTTGAGCTCAGTTTCCCTTGTCAGAGGTATAACATAGGGATTTGGTGCTGTGTGTTCAGGCAATGACACTGCAATGATGTATTGCTACCAAGCTGCTGATATCTGGGACTTTGGTTGAGTCCATGATCCCTGTTACAGAAGAGAAGGGTAGAAGACAGACCTGCTCCAATGCTGTGCACCTGAGATCATCTCTTTTGCTGCTTTGGAAGTCCAGAATTTCCCTGACAGTTCATGGCCATGGCCTTGGTAAAGTCCTTTCTAAAGACCAGCCAATAGTGTTTCCTGCATGTGTTATAAATAAGTATTCTTTTCTTTCAAAAAAGTTATTTGTGTCTTTCAGCCTTTGCACCATTAGCAGGCGTTGAAGAAAGATAATATGGTAGGCTTTACTGCAAAGTAGAATTAAATACATTGATATAAAGACCAATACAGTGCTTAGATGTTGACTAAGGCTTTACTCACAGTAGCTCTGACCTCTTCTTGAAGATGACATAATGCAAGTACCTTATGAAGTCTCTATATGTGAAGACTAGGCATTAAAGGACTTTTTCAGCAGATCAGGACTTTCTTACTTGTGTTCATATAAATAGTTCTTATGATGCAATATGCTGAAGTAAGTTCACAGTATGAATTGTCTGAAACAATTGCATTTCCATGCAGTTAACGTTGAGCACAAGGTTATATTTTGAGTTTTTGGTACTCCAAAGTTGAAGTTCATTACTGGGAAAACTTACTGGTCCCGTAGTGCTGAGACAAGTTTAAGAGGTACAGGGAAGCATGAAGTGAAGGGACATAGACCCAAAGTTTATATATGTTTTGCCATCAAAAAGAAACCAGAGGAGTAGCAGTATGTGGTAATACAAAAAAAGCTACTAATGCAGAGATTTTCTTTCCTGTTGACTTGTGATGTTTTGTCTAAGACACATTTTAAAGCTTGGCTTATGTGACAGTATGCTGTAGTTAGACTAATTACTATGTTTTTACGATTCATGCTAAAATGCTGATCCTGTATCAAAATATGGGGACTTCACAGCTCAATTCCACTTGAAATAATATGTCTTCATATCAGTATATGAAGCGCTTGTTTTCCTGGAGTTAGGATACCTCTGAAGGTGCTAACAGGCTGTAATGATCCTGCTCAGCCCTGTCAGGGCTCTCCAAACCTGCCTACATCCCAGAGCTCCATTGTCACCCAGGACCATCTCATCAACACACGCCTTTTCAGTACTGCCCACTGTCAAGCATCAGGCTCAGGATAAGGAGGGCTCAATTCAGTCAATCTTCTGTATGTTAGGCAGTGTTCTAGCAGCTCCCATAAAGCCCTGACCATGGTAAATGCAAAATAATAACCTCTTTACCCTTCTTTTCTTGTAAAGTAAAGCAAGTGGCACAGCTGGCACATCCTGTAGGTGGAGAACACGCACATAAGCAGTCACCACCATACAGCCAACATGCTCTTACACGTTAAGCCACAGGAATTTGATTATGAGGCAGACCTTTTCATCAGCTCCTACTGCAGAGACAAAATGCTGTCCTGCTGAAGTCAGAGGCAAAGCTCTGGTTGTTACACAGCCAACATCTCGTCCTTCTGCTTACTGCTCTCGGAGTCAGCAAGCCTGGTGCAGGGGATGCAGTCTGTGGCCTGGCTGTTGTAGAGGAATAGGAAGCTTTGGTATTTTGGGGGACTTTGAGACAGCATAATAACCATGGATGCCAGCAGTCATTTTTTGCATTTACCACTGCAGTCATAATAACTTCTTATCCTTGAAAGTATTACATTGGTACTGGGCAGATTTTGTAGTTCTCGATGATATTTGGATAGTATGGGAAGGGTTTATCCATAAATTTTAGTGATAACTGTTGTGAATAATGCTATCTACCTAGTTACTCTGCTCTCCCTGCTTTTCTTCTCCAGTAGCTTGCAAAAACAGTCAACATCAAACTTAGGGCAGATTTAGCAAGGGGATTTTGGACTTCTTAACATCAACGGCAGCTTTGAAAAACTCAATCTTAGCAAACAGCAGCTAATAATGATAACAATAATAGAGATAAGTCAATTCATGTCTCCCCACCTAAAATATTTACATAATGAATTAGTTAATTGTATTTTATCTGCTTCTGATGGGTGGGTTGTTAGCCTTCACATTGCAGCAGCCCTAGGGAGCTCTTGGGCACTCTAATGCCAAGAATACGTGCTATTTCATATTCTGTTATTTGCTTTGAGTTTAAGGTAGTGCTAGGAAATTCCCAGCAAACAGCTGTACCCAGCTTCACAATGAGCAAGTCTTTTCAGTGATTGAACATCTCTCATTAAAGGAGTAAAAAAAATCCCTCTATCTGCTTTTTGTAGTTCAGTCATTTACCATGTATATAGATAGACGCCTTAAAAAAATACAAATGTTAGAGCATGCAATAAGTAATTCCTGTGTTATTTCATCTATCTAATTAGACCTAAAAATAGCCTGTGGGAAGGAGGACCAGAAACCTTGAGTGTCTGAAGCAATTTGCATCAATTATTTCCCAAGTTACCAGTCACAAGTGAAAGCCCTTGCCTGAGTGCCTCCATTAGCCAGGTGTCAGAGCTCTTTCTGTTTTCATTTCAGGTTTTTTTGCTGGGAACAGGGTGTGTGCAGGCTGAAAAGCACTGAGGAGGAACTGAGGCCATGGCTGATCCTGAGGGGTGCCCAGAGCAGCTCTGCAGGCGAGGTTAGTGCCTTTGCTCCTCTGTCATCACCGGTCTCTGAGAGCAATCACCACCCACCAACAGTTCCTCAAGATAAGACTGAGCCAGCTGGGAGAAGAAATCCTTTGATATTTCCTTGCCTCGCTGAGTAAGTATGCCATAACAATAATACTTTGAACTTCTACAACAACTTTTCATACCAGGGTCTGAGTGCTCTACAGACATTCATTCTCTATGCAGTGTACCACCTGTGTGAAGAAACTATTTTTTTATTGTACTCCTTCTCCAGACTAGATCCTCCAAAGGGCTTAGCAGCCATTTTGTCTTCACTAGAGATTTTGTTTTGTTTGTACAAAATAGGCATTAGGACTAGTATGAAGGTTGATACTTCAGACAAGCATGCCAAACATTGGTAAGGTCTGCACAGCCCCTGTACCCAAATACTTATGTCCTGGATGTCTGCTGGTGTGCCCCATAAAGCTGAAACTCTTGTTAACTGTTTGTCTCATGTTTACATCCCACAGGGAACTTCATGAGCTCCTCATGATAATTCTGTTGAACAATAGAAAGCATGTGAAAAGTAGATATGTTTGTTTTGTTCATCATCATAACTATATTCTATGATGCTCTAATATTTGGAAATAGAGAAGAGTGTACTTGTCACAGTTACATACAAACATACAATAGATAATTTAGGAGAGATGCTATATCCCAGGTAGACCAGGTGTTTTGATTTATAAAGCATGCAACAGGGTTCAACTTTGATTTTCATCTTCTGTCTGCTTTCTCAGTGAGAGAATACAGTTAAGGCAGCTCTGGAGTAGATCTATCTTTATGGAAAGTTGATTTTAAACTAGTGCCAAATGTCAGCAAAGAATCATGTTAAACATTTCCACACAAAGAATAGAGGACAGCCTAAGAGTGCACTCTGCAGTCAAGAGTACATTTTCTGTGCCTTCCTGTTACTGGTTCCTTCAGGAGTTTATGCATTACAAGTTTGATGCAGACACCACCTGTACAGCATTCACAGTCTCCACTTCTACCCCATTCCCTGTGGCTGGCCAGAATATCCAGAAGCTAGAGCATTCAGGGCATTACATGTGGTTAGAGCATTTGCGTCTTTCTCCACAATTAGAACAATCCACCGATGCCTTCAGTGATGCCTTTAATTTTTAGACACTGTAACTATGTTGTTGAGCCTGGGAAATGCAGTCGTTAGCTGTTCTTGTTGCAGAAGTATGCCAAAGCCTTTGGTCATTCAAATCCCATGAATTCAAGGCAAAGTATTAATAGATTTGTTGCACTGATCCTAATTGCTAAAAATTGAGAAGTAAACTTCAAACCTACAGTTGCTTTTCTGAACTAAAGTTCTAATCTTTTGAGATTTGCCCATCACAGATTGTAAGTGCAGAGTGGAAAAAAAGGGGAAATGCAGAGTGATAGTCAAGCTACAATTTGTCAAATACATCATCCTTTCAAGTAAGGCAAAACTAATGTGGAAAATGGGAGGCAGGGAGACTGGTTGTGTTCTTCCTTTAAGGTGTACTCCTGGGAAAAGAGAAAGACACGCCAAAGTCTGTTATTAAAAAACAAACAAACAAACAAACAAAAAAAAAAAAAACAAAAACAAAAAACTAGAACTGTTTAAACAGTCTTTAAACTGCTGGAAAGATGTGCAAAAATCTCCATATCACTTTCTTAACTTTTCCTGTAATTCAACAGCTGCGTTTTTCACAGCTCATATCTCAGAGAAGACCTGCAAAGATGACTGGGCACATAAGAGTGACACTGGACTGTTATGCAAGGAAGATGCTAATTTTCTGCCATGTGAATAGGTATGTAATTAGTTTGGAAATAATCTCTAAATTTGAAAAGATAGTCATTCATTTTACAACAATTTAAAGACCAAACTTTCTATGCTACTCTGAATGGTTTACAGTTTAGCATTAGGTCTCAAAAGTCAACATAACTAAGATGAAATAAACTCAACTCATATAAATCAGCATAACCTCACTCCCTTGCTACTCAGACTGTGGCTGAGCATAATGTACACCAGTGTACATCAGTGTTCTCTGACTAAGCTCCTTTGCCACTGACCCCAAATGGTGATCATCCTCCCTCTGGACAACCATTGCATCAATAAGGCAACCCAAGCTGAAATGACAGAAATCAATCTGCCTCTCATTAATGAGATGAATAGAATCAGAGAGAGTTCGATGGAAGGGTGGAAAGATGTGTTACAAATTAGATAGGAGGGACTGAAGGAGGAAGTTAGCATTTTTCAGATAGTTTAGAATAAACTTTGTGCAATGCTTATCCAAAAGCGCTTCAGTGTTACATAGATTTTGAGTATGCACACTTCTAGATAAATAGGGTTCAGGGAAGATGTTTTGTGTCAGACTGAAGTGAAGCAGGTGCTTTTATGTTTTCAGAGATTTCTTAAAATATTTAGCTTTAAAATAAGATTGTATTTTTCATATAAAGAACACTAGTATTTATTTATATTTATATACTATATATTTCTGAGCACGAGGAAGTATTAACACATAAATATCTATCTGTGTAATGTTTATGCAACTCAGTGGCTCAGCATCAGTGCTATATATATATACATCAGTGTTATATATATATAACACACTATAGTATATATATAGGTATATAGGTATATATATATGTATATATATATATATATGCTCAGAAATACACAAACACACAGATAGCTTGCAAATAATTGCATGAGAGCCATTTATAATTATTTATTCTTCTCTTTATTTCCAATTAGCAAACTCCTATATTTGTAACCCAAATTGTTTGCCAAGAGAAAAAAGATATTTTTCTATCAGTGGCATGAAAATGACAAGGAAATTTTTCACTCTGAACACAGCGACAAGGATGTTAGTGAAGTAGTTTTGGAGCAGCTAGTGAGGGCACGGATAGGGTATGGCTGTGATGGGTACCTTGCATTTTTCAAAACACAAATATGGTTTTGCTGTTTCTGGGACATGGGCCAGCTCATTCAAATGCGGCACTCAAGAGATGGAGAAAAGGCAATTTGCCACAACACCTTTTCCATCTTGCTGCCTAGCTCGCTGCTGCAGTTACAGATGGCCAACATTTGTGTCTTGAACATTTATCTTGCAAAACATAGACTTCTGTATAGAAAGTACTTAGTGGTACAAAATATTTGCCTTAAATTTAAATTTTCATCTTGTTTCAATTCTTAGAAAACATTTTGAAATTTCAGATGTTGTTTTTTCTCCTTTTTGTCACCTTCCTTCCGTCTCACACTCTGTTTCTGAATACAGTAGTTGTTTGCCAACGATGGAGGATTCTGAGTGAAGGCTTCGGTTTCTCTTTTTGTCATTTGATAATTGCTGAAAGCTTTACCTGTGCTGTTGGTAGACATCATTCAGACTTTATCATGGGTTCTCAGCATCCTGCCATAGCTCACCATTAAGTAAATATATAGCAATTTTTAAAAAGCGTTAAGTCAGCTTTCTTTTTCTTTATTCACTCTGCCCATTTTGTGAAGCTTGCAGTATTACAAAACAGATGTAAAAATAGGTAAGTTTTTTTTTTTGTTTTGTTTTGTTTTTTTAATTTGCACATTAGTGTTTTTATTTCAGCCAGTAGCAGATGGAAATGATCAGCAGAAAAGAAAAAGAACTGAAAATTTTCACAAATATTTTGGACAGACAAATGCAAGTTGTCCCAGTTTGAACCCTGTGAAATATAAATGGCTTAAAAATGAAGCAACTCTTTGAAAGACTCTGCTAATTATCTCTGCGCCTTGTACATGCAAGTCAAGAGCAGGGTCTTGACAGGCTTTGGCTGAAGAGCGGGGTTTCAAGTTCACAAAAAAAACAAAAACAACAACAACAACAACAAAAAAAAACCCCAAAAACATGAAACCTCATCTTCTCATCTTTTCCAGAGTTGGGCCACGTTCCTAATCAGACCGAACTGAATAGCTTTCAAATTCCCGGTGAGCTGGCATTTCAGAGACCGCTTTATTATGAGTACAGCAGCACATGTTGCTGTTGAAATACTTGGTCCCTGGGAGCTCCAACCTCCTAGGTCTGCTGCAGCCCTCAGAGATTCGAGTTGAGAATGTTTGGCTCCTGAGTGCATTTGAGTTGCACCATTTTTTCTGTCAGAGTTCATTGCCAAGCTCAGTGACAGCATAGAGAATTTAAGGCAATTTGCTCCTACAGTGGAGTAGATTGTTGTTTTACGGCTTAACTTTGCTTTCTCAGAAAAGGCTAATTTGCTCCTGTTCTACAGTGACTGGACTTTGCTCCCAAAGATTTACAGCAGTGAAGATATTTATTTGAAAATGGCATTGAAGTTTTTTAATACCCAGCCTCGCACTGCTTTAGCTTCGTTATTTTATAGCTATACAATCTCATTCAGCTCCTGCAAATATACTAGGAGGAAAGGAACTGATTCTGAGTATCCTTCCAAAAGCTTTGTGTAACGTTGAGGAAAAACCTTGCTGAAAGAGAGCACGCATCCAGTACTGAATATGCATCCCTGTCAGGTAAACCTACAGGGAAGAGCTGTTTTGACTCGCAAGCTGACATCAGGTTTTAATCAGGGTCTTACTGTGACAAGTTGGGATGAAGTTTTCTGAACTGGAAGCACCTCTACCAAGCTGCTCTTTCATTACTTAACATCAGAATGATTTATACTGTTTGCATAAGGTGGCTAATGGCTGTATTTCCCAGCTTCAAGTAATCTGTGGCTACTTTGAGCAACAGACACTTTCTTGGCCATCTGTTTGGGGATCCAAAAAGCTGCCAACAGTCAGCCCCTTCCCTGCTACCCGCAGCAACCTGAGGGCTTGGCTGTGCAGGAGGAAGCAAGAACAATCAGCAGGGAAATACAACCCAAAATAACCAGCTGGCCTCCACAGAGAAAGGTCACTGCTTGAAAGCTGCTGTTTGAGAGCTGGGAGTGAAAAAGCGTGAGCAAGCAAGGGAGACTCAATGCCTCCATGGTTCCAAAGAATTCCTTTTTTTGTAAGCAAAACAATGCTGGAGAACAATGCAAATACTTGCAGCGCTTTCGAGGCAGGAGATTTTTTTTATTTCCCTTACAGAAAGTAAATTGGAACTGCTTCCATAAACAATAGGCACTGGCTACAGAAGAAAGTGTGAGCTTTTGCAGAGTTTTAAAAATAACCAAAAGTAAGGAGCATATTGGCAAAGCATTCTGTTTTCTCAGAATAGCAGGGAAAATGCAATGCAGCCTCAACATTTGAGGAAGAGAAAGGCTAAGGAAGCAGATTGGGAGACATAATGTGGTACGCTCTGAATATGCCAGATTTTGTTTTAGAAGCCAGTGTTTGGTGTTAGGTTACCTCATGATGGGAACAGTGATACGGATTGCAGACTTTGCCAGCTCTTTCCCCAAACATTTAAAATCTTTCAAAATATTGTTCCTCAGTAGACCAGTTTATTCCAACTAATTATACTGACTGCACTGAGTCTCATTTCAGTTTGGTGCTTAAATCTACCCAAACCTGAATATTCATGAATTCCAGGCAAAACCATGGCTTGCTCCTGGAAAGGGTGCAAGAGCACAGCACAAATAATAGAAACAAGAACCAAAGTAGCAACTTCAGCAGCTTTAGCTTCTCAGTGTCATATACTTTACTCTACCTAGCACTAAGAAAAAAGCTCTGTTAGTGGTGTTACCTGATTCCTGACCTCTCTAATTACAGCAGCACTAGTGTTACAGCAGCTGCAGTTTTGATGCTGGAGAGGGCTCTTGGGCTTGTAAAGCTCATTTGGTTTTCTGAATGAAAATAAGCTGCCCAGTATGCCCCAGTATACAGCAGTAAAGCGCTGGCTACAGTAGAGGATTTCGTGCTTTCAAATAGCATTTTTGTTCTTTTACTGTAGGTGAGTCTCCGGTGAGGTAATAGTCACAAAAATGTTAGTGTTACAGCCAAAAAGCCCTTATCTGATATTTGTGGAGAAATAAGAGACACTGATATTTTGTGTTGGTGATCTGGCTTGACAAATGCAAGTTTAATTACTCTGTGTAGGTTTGATTTGGACAAAGTAGTAGTATGATTCTGTCTTTCCTTGTCCCATTGGAAATACAACGTTGCTGAGAAACAATTGAAGTTTATAGATATTTCAATATTAGTGTTCACCTCTCCTGTCCCTTGCTGCTGCCCATCAGCATGTACGTTTTAGTTTTCCTTTGGCTTTTGCATATGAGCTTCTTTGAAGTCCAGCATAACTTAGAATGACTCTTGGGATATATGTTAGGTCTTGTAAAGTTTCCTGGCAAACTACTAGTCTGCACCAGCTAGAGCTCACAGCAGCTGGCCATCTGAACCTCTTCCATCCAGCTTTACTCCAAACAAAGACGACTGTAAATAGATTTCTTTAAAGTAAACCTCAGGGAACTAGGTAACTGAAAGGATTCACAGCCGCTGGCATGTTATGCTCCACAACTGACCTGAATCTTGGACATGGCTGTGGCTGGTCTCCTTGCACAGCAGTCCTTAACTTAGATATAAGGAAAAAATCTTTCACAGTGAGGGTGGTGAGGCACAGGAACAGGTTACCTAGTGTTGTGGTTGATGTCCCATTCCTGGAGACTTTCAAGGTGAGGCTGGATTGGGCCTCGGGTAACCTGATCTAGGTGCGGTGTCCCTGTTCATTGCAGGGAAGTGGGACTAGATGATATTTAAAGGGTCCCTTCCAACTCCAAGAATTCTGTAGAGTCCTGGCTGCTAGGAATTAAGGTAGTTTTGATAATCAACTGTAAAATTAGGGTAAAGAGCACTGTGCTGTTTATGTAAGACATGGCCCATGGTGCCATGCCAGGTTGTCACTGCCAGATTTGGAAGTATTCAGCATTTTGTATTCATGATTGAAACTTTTGAAGAATAGATTGTAGTTCTCATGAGTGACTCCTGATATTTTGTACCCTGCCGTCGTGGTAGCCTGTACTCCTCTCCTTCTCACTTCTGTATGCAAGACACTGACGAAGCAGTAGGGAAGAACTGGTTTGCACTGGGGGAGTTGTGGCAAACAGCACAGCTTGCATGGATGTCTCAGCAACCAGTCTGCAAGCTCCAGCAGGACCCAAGGTCTGTATGCACTTGGACCTCCCAAAAAATGGGCTGCAATTTTTGAGACCTAAGGGATTCATCAGTGTCAACTCTGAGAATAGCAGTGATTTTCAACAGTTTCTTCTTCTGTCTACACTTCCAATGCTCAGTCAGTCTAATTACTTCTGGGTTCTTGCCCATCACGTCATGAAATGCTTCAGAGGTTGAAGGAGGAAAAAAAAAAATCAAACTGTGGTCCAAACCTCAGGAGGAAGAAGGCATCTGTTAGGACAAGCTCTTACCAGAAATGGTATAAAGATATCTTTTTTTTACTAAATCTTTCAAATCTGTAACTAGTTCAAAGGCACCTTATTAGAAGAGTGAAAGACCAAGTGAAAAGCCTTCAACATAACTAATTAAAAGCAGTAACTGTGTGTGCTGTGGTCTATCAGGAATTTATATGTTTGAATAATTCTTTTTGCATCCACCAGTGGTAAAAGTAAGTTCCTTCCAAAGTGGTGTTTCTGCCTTTGTATTAAAATGTGAACAACATGATTGAATTTGTTTTTATTTCCATTATTTGTAAATAGTGTTAACATAAAGATAATTCATGATACATTCACTAATGTGCTACCATGAGTGATAAAAGACCTGAAGAGCTCCAAGAAGGCAGTTTGCTCTCTAAAACAGTATATTTTATTTCTTGAAGGGTTGTCCTTGAAAAGAAGTATGAGTGCAGAAAAGATTTAAAATAGCACTGCAATCTCCTATATAGAACATAGAAAAGTGACACCGTGCCATTCACCTGCAGCACAGCCATCAGTAAAGTGAAGAGGACGGAGTGCTGCTGTAGCTCTTGCATTTAACAATCACTGCAGTAATGACAACAATCGTCTCCCTTTTCCTGAGAACAGAGATAGGGCTGGGGACAAAACATAACCTCTAGGATGCCAGGGAGGATCTTGATGTTTCGCACAGCCAGCTCTCCTCCTGAAAGATCTCTCAGGGAAAGATCTGTTGTCTCTAGCCATGTTGCCAAATTGCTTGTTTGGGTCCTGCTGAAGCTCACCTTTGGCTGCTGCCTTTGTGTATTCCTTCCCCACTCATGCCTTGTATGATCTCTGCAGGGGTTTCATTACAAATCAGTCTTTTTTCCATTTACAAATCAGTCTTTTTTCCATTTACAGTGAAGACCACTTGACATTCACAGTCTTTCCAGTGCTCCCCAAACTTCATGTTACACCTGAATGTTTTCACTGCCCAAATCTGGCCTGTACTTCAGCTTAAGGGAAAAATGGTGCTTAAGTTTTGGAGAAAGTCTGGAGCCTTCAGCTGTAAATTTTTCTTGTGTTATATGTCTTCAAGGTCTGTTCATATTTTACCTTATAAATGACAAAACAACACTGCTATTTATTAATAACAATGGTGCTCTCATAATTTTGATTGAAAAACAGTGGTGTAGAGGTGATGATTGCTAAATATGACTCCCATGTTCTCTCCAGGGCCTGGGCAGAGTGAGGCAGAGTGCGGTGCTGGAATCTCCCCGATCCTCCTATGGATATCAGCAGCTGCCACATCTGGAGTCTGCAGCAAAGCTCCTTCCTCCAGAGGCCAAGAGCTGAGCCTACTGTTTCCAGCAAGGTAATCATGTTCCCCAAGCAATAACAAGAACTTCCTAAGAGCAGCTGTTTAAGATGGCTCGGAAGCAACAAGAAGAATGTGGTTAAAACTTCATGAATCTGGTTTCTATATGTGGTGGGGAAGAGCTACTTTTTTAGACAAAATGCCAGTCAGATGCTCAGTATTTTTTGTGATTCGTGTTTGTGTTCTAAATCTAATCTCCTTATGCACTACTTGTTATTTTTGCAAAAGGATACAATAGGGAAATTGTGCCTCTTCAAGGAGAACCACATTTTTAGGTTGTTTAAAATGCAGAGGATACATTTTAAGGCCCTGTAAGCGCAACTACATGAGAAATCAAGCAGCCTCGAGTTTGCACTGCAGTTAGGTGCAACACTGATTCCTTCTGCTGTCAGAGGGCACGGTAAGGAGCACAGCTGAGGAAGGCGCACAGAGCACAGTGCAGCAAAGGACTTTTTGCAGCCTGCAAACTCTGGCCTTGCTACAAATTGGTCTCCTGTTGCCATCTGCTGGTTAAATCCTACTGCATTTGAATTTGACAATGAAGAGTGTGTTCTTATTAAGAAAATACTTGTGGGTTTTGTGTGTGTGTGTGTGTGTGTGTGTGTTTGCAGTTCACTTCTATGGGATCATATATAACTTCCTTCTCTCTTGGGTAGCTTTCATTCACAGTAGGAGTCTTAAAAAAAAAACTTCAATTTTTTAAGAATCCTATGGCTAATCATTCTGTAAGATGTAAGAGCACATAATATCCTGGGACAGGTAAAGTCATATGCTTGCAACCAGCCTTAAGGCAGACAGATTGCTGGTTGCCATAGGCATCCCTAGCACCATGTCATCAGGTCGCAATCTAAGCTACAAGGTGTAATTCCCATGGCGTTAAATCCAGCGCTGGTGGCTGATCATTGTATGGATCTGAGCTAGTGCTAACAGTGGCAGAAAGATTTTAGAAAACGACTTTGCTGTTGACAGGCTTTTAAAACCTCATACTCAAAGCAGAAGTCAATGGGGTGTGAATCCACCCACACCAAAGCTGAGAATATCAGGACCCGTGACTGCTCTGTCTCTAAGCTCCACTTACACTGTCTATAAACAGTCCTGTAACATGCCTTTGAACACCAGAACAAGGGATATTTAAGATCCTGGCCAGAGGTGCTGTGGGCTTTTTCAGGTAGCACAGGGAATTATCATTGCCACTTCACTAGGTGGAGGGGTTTTAAAGGCAAGACATGTTAGCCAGTGCTTAGATAGTTAATCAGCTTCTGGTTGGCTCAGTATGGGGACAGGTGCAATTCGTATCTTCTACAAAGTTATTACTATAACATCCTCTGTTAACCTGTATGTTCAGCTTCACTGACAGAGTTAAATATCTTTATTTATGCTGATACATTGATTTCAAGCTACCATACACAGACCTTGAGCATCTACTGTGGCTTGTAACTCTTGCATAAAACAACAGACTTGGCAACCTCTCTGTCATGCCCTTCTTTTGAACCCCATTCATATTTTCCTCTACTGCTACTTTTCTTTAGATATCAAACACTGCATCAACATGTATTTTGATCCTGCCAAGAAAGCTAATTAATAGATAATTGCTGTTCAATGCAGAAGAAGTGCCTGTGACCTATTTTACCTTCCATGAAAGGACTATTTTAATCAATTACCCATCCACAGATCTCTTAAACCACATCTTCAGGGCATACATATGTCTCTTTAGATGCCTATCTTGGCATAGCTAAGATGCTATGTGAAATCTTAGAAGTATTAGCTTGCCTGCTGTTTTCAATCTCTTACTTTGTACTGGGATAACAAGGTGTTCAAATGGGTTCTGACAGGCTTTCAAGCATCATCTCTCCATGCAGGCCTGTTTTTTTTCTGGCTATATGTTAGAGAAGGCTTCCAACAGTATTCCTAGCATGGAGTTACTTAGCTGTTTATGTGGAAAGTGGCCTGCGAGCTTCTATGAGTAGAAAGGCTCTCAAGAGTTTGTTGTACCACTGATAAGCACTCCCTATTTAAATCTTGGTGCTGTTGTATTTGCTAAATATGAATGGACAATCTAAAAGCTAAAAGGTCTTAAAGCTAATTGTCTTCCTTCTTTGATGCATCAGATCATTACTGCAAAGAGATTCGTTGGTAGAAATCTACAAGAGCAAATTAATCCTGGAAACATTTAAGAAGAAATGATTCTTTCCTCAGCACTGTTGTCTAAATTCATTTATCTAAGTAGGTTTTTGTCATATATACAGACTGTACCTGAGGTTTTGATCCTATTACTGCTAATCTAATTGTTCTTGTGGACAAGCAACAGCAATAAATCTATAAGCAAGGGTTTAGGTTGCAATCAAATATCATTTCCACTTACCAAGATTTAGCTGTTTCATCAAGCAAACTGCTCAGAGACCGCATAACAAAATAAATAATTTCCTGAGATACATGCGTAAATTCTGCATTTTAAGCATGCCATTCTCAGTGCCTGATATCATTCAACTCCTGTTATGATGGACAGGAGTTTCTACATGCACTCTTTCTACCACATCTGCCCATCTCTACTACTACTGCTGACTAATTGTTTTGGGTCCTTCAAGATGACCTCTGTAAAGTTGTAATGTCTGAAGCAAGGAGTAAGAGCTGAGTTCTCTACAAAGACACTATCATCAGAAGAGGATGAAACCAAATAATCATATTTTGTTCTCTGAAAGAGGCAGAACCCGCACCCCTACCATATCTTACTTTCCAGCCTGACAGTGCTGACCCAGCTAGGTTAAAGAGCTTCAGTCACCATGTTTCTGCAAGCTATCTTTCCTGTATATTCTTATGCTGAAAGTCAAGGTAATTAAAATGTGTGCATATAAAACTATTTAAAAGGATCAGTAAACTGTGGCAAGTTTTAGTTTGCTGCCAGGATTTGATCCCAGAACTGCTGCCTAACACAGTGCACTTGTCCAAAGGGCCCACGATTCAAGTGCCATAGGCAATGATGCTTAGCAAAAACTCTGGAATGCTTTCATTCTTGGCTATGCTTAAAATATCCAGCTGCTTTATTTGGATGTCACGTTACTGCATTTTAATATTTATATTTATTTCTGGGAATCTCACGATCTATTTATTCTCAAGATTAAATTTCCCTGTCCAGAACATGTATCCAAAAAGTCCTCCCAAACACAGAAGATACACAGATAGGAAACGTGCATTGGATTGTAGGAATATAATTCTGCATGGGATCTGCCCACTGAGGATTGCAGGGACCACTCACCTTTTCTTCACCCCCATCTTACCACCTCACCTTCAAATACACAGGGTATTCAGTATCATTTGCTAATTATCTTGATCCTGTCTTATTCGGTTTAAGTTTTTGATTGCCATGATATAACATTTGGACAACTTGTCTGTTGCTTTGCTTAATGCTTTTTGGGTTGCATCCATACTGCTATTTGATGTGCAAGTTGTATTGGCGATATTCTCAAGGCATGTCCTCAATGTGTCTGTTGTTATTTTGCCATTTGTGATGCCCTAGGTTGGCCTGCCCTAGTTAGATCTCTGATGTAGAGGACCTGACTTGCCTCATATGGAAGTCTGCACTCACTGCAGAGTGGCTCATCCTATCAAATTCCTGCTATAGGTTTCTATGGTTCTGCTGGCGTGGCCCCTGGCAAATTCTACTTTTTCACGAGTGTGAAAAATATTGCTGTTCATACTAATTTAAAATACTGCTTTTTAAAATTTAAAAAGTATTCAAATTTGTTTGAATATGAAATGAAACCATTTGTTTGGTTTTAATGATTTGTTTCCTGATATTCATTGCTTCGTAGTCGCCATCCCTGGAGATGTTCAAGAGCTGTGTAAGTGTGATACCGAGGGACGTGGGTTAGTGGGCATGGTGAAGATGGGTCGACTGTTGGATTAGATCATCAGTGTTTTTTTCCAACTTCAATGATTCTGTAATTCTGTACCAGAACACTGTTGTCATCACTGCATTTCTTCCTTCATAAATAAGAATTTGCCAGCTCTCCTTGGTAATTTTTTTGGTGATGCTGCCTGTGGAGCCTCCAGTGATCTCTCCAAAGAAATGGGAGGGGAGACTGCTTTACCTGAATTGTTACAACAGGCATCTGGAGAAGGCCAGCAGAGTTGTTTACTGTACCCTGGGCCTCAGCCAGCATGCTTTGATGGCTGTTTCCCTACAATGAAATCTCGTACCATGCAATTGCTACTGGAAAGCAAACAAGAGGGACTGCACTTCTCTTCCACAGATGACTTCTCATCCTTTGCAGCATCAAAATCAGAAATCTCTACATGCCCAGCTCTATTAGGTTCAGTGCAAGCTGGTTTAGCTACCTAAATACCACTGGAAAGCTTGGATGCAAGCTTTACACAAAAGTGACAGCTTTCTCCCAGCACAGAAGAGCTCTATTTTCCCCAGGACAGTGAGGACAGTAGAAGAAATCAACCCTCCTCAGCTGGAGCAAGGCTGCTGCAGCTTGTATGAGCTGTCACATGGCCTGCAGGACAGGAAGGCCCTTTCCATCAAAGAGTAACTGCTCTTGGAAGCACCTCTGCAGGAAAGCCAGAACAATGGAAAACCAAAGTAACCTTGCTTCTCCAGGCAGATTTGGGGACAAAAAGGAGGAGGAGTGGTGCTGGCTTGATGCCACAGCTCTGCATGCAGCGGGGATGGAGAAGCTGCGATAACATGTCTCTTTGGATGAGGATTTAAAAATACAGCTCTCACTTTCTTGTTATTTTTTCAAGCATTACATAAACGTTCCCCTTAGAAGGCCAAAGGCAGATGTTTTCTTAGGACAAGGAAGTCTGGAAGAGGCAAAGCAAGCAAAACCATCAGATAAGTCTGGGGAAAAAAAACCAACCAAACAAACAAAAAAAGCCCAACCCTTGGATAACCTATTTTCCCCCCTCTTAAACGGTCAAGTTTAAAGCATGCTGCAGAGCTCTGCCTAGGAGGAAAGTAAGGACCACTCTTCTCTCTGCCTTGCTGTGGT